AATAGTACATTCCAATTAGATTATTGTATATCGGGTAGTTTTTGTGGCACTTATTTTCTTGGTTTTCGTGGTTTTGGGGCTTCTCACAAATATTAAACCCACAAAATCATTAAATGCCATCCCCTTACAGGCTATGTCAACTGTCAACCAAGAAAATTAAACCACAAATTTCACCATGAAATATTAGACCCACAAAAATAACCTGCTGTAGTGGCCTAACGGCCTTTGACAGAATTGCTATTTACTTGTTGATTTATTTGATTTTCCAGGTGACATTGCTTCTTCAATATCTTTTCTAGCAGCTGGTAGTGGACGTAAACATTCATTATCACTTGAATTGCCTCCTCCTACAAATAATAATATTATCCCAAAATAATTTGGCACAAATTAGACACATGGAAGTATACCTGTTGACGTAGGAGTAGCTCCTCCAGTAGTAGCTGGTAGAGGATGTTCACGAGCTATCTTATCAGCTAAAGCTGGATCACCTCCTCCTTCTTTAACAGCTACACACACCATTCTCCAGCAAGGGGGGCCATAACACTCATAATCGTAACCTTTCTTTAGCCAATACTCTAGAACTTTCTGCAGGCAAGATACTGCATTTCCATGAGAGGTAGCTTCTATGATATTAATGTCAGCTAATCTCAATCGTAAAGAAATGGCGAATGACTTCCAACTAGCAGAAATAGACTTCACTTCATCATACACTGAGTGATACTCATCAATACCTGAAATACTCTTTATTAAATGTCAAATATACACACAAACTCACTTAGTTCTCTATTGCAAACGTTCATAAAAGAATCAGAGGAAGAAGGGCTTGTTGCCATTGTGTTGAAGGGAAGGAAGCCTAAACTGTAACACCCACGCAAAACTACGAGCCCCACCCCACCCACTACTATTAGAATGGCTGCCATTATGCAGGTAAGAAATTGTTTTCGTCTTCATTTCTTATATATTTAGTCTCTTACAGGGTTGTCTTTCTATTAATAAATAAGAGTGTTGACTTTAGTGTGTTAGGCTGACCTCCAAAAGCCACTGTTGTGAGAATTAATTGTGAATTTGTGATATAGCATCCATTTTCACATAATAACTGCCAATGGAGGGGACCAACATAAAGTAAAGAAGAATCAACTCTATTGTCTATAAATGAATCAATACAATAATGGAATTTGTTTTGCTGAAAATGGTGAGGAGAGGATGTAGGTGTAAAAATAGCTAATTTCCATGCTTTTTCTGAAAAATGGCTCCAAAATTACAAAAGTTTGTGCAAATTTCTAAAAAATACCCTGTACTCTAGCCCATGGTTTTTTCAAAAAAATTAATGACTCAAAAATTACCCCAATTTTTTATTACATTTTCTGATACATATTGATGTACTTATGCTGTGTAGAAAGTTTGAGTTGATTTCAACTTCAAATTTTAAAGTTATAGCCATTTTAAGAAAATGCCAAAATTTTGAAAAATACCCAATACTATAGCCCATGGTTTTTTTCAAAAAATGGCTAAAAAATTACCCCAACTTTTTATTACATTTTCTGATGCATATTGATGTACTTATGCTGTGTAGAAAGTTTGAGTTAATTCCAACTTCAAATTTTCAAGTTATGGCCATTTTAAGAAAATGCCAAAATTCTAAAAAATATCCAAGGCTATAGCCCATGGTTTTTTCCGAAAAATGGCTCTGAAATCACCCCAAATTTTTATTACATTTTGTGGTACATGTTGATGTCCTTAGTCTGTGTAGCAAGTTTGAGCTGATTCCAACTTCAATTTTTCAAGTTACGACCATTTTAAGAAAATGCCAAAATTTGAAAAGTACTCAAGGCTATATAGCCCATGGTTTTTTTCAAAAAATGGCTCAAAAATTACCCCAACTTTTTATTACATTTTCTGATACATATTGATGTACTTATGATGTTTAGAAAGTTTGAGTTGATTCCGACTTCAATTTTTCAAGTTACGACCATTTTAAGAAAATGCCAAAATCTGAAAAGTACTCAAGGCTATAGCCCATGGTTTTGTCCAAAAAATGGCTCCAAAATCACCCCAAATTTTTATTATATTTTCTGATACATATTGATGTCCTTAGTGTGTGTAGCAAGTTTGAGCTGATTCCGACTTCAAATTTTAAAGTTACAGCCATTTTAAGAAAATGCCAAAATTATAAAAGAATATTTCTCTCCTCTCATAGGATTCTACTCTCAATACTTCTACACTATCAGTAGCTCCTCCTTTTCCTCCTACTCCAATTAACAAGAGCTCAATCCTCCCACTAAATTGGGATCTAGTGATTAACACTGTATGTGGAACTATAATTTTGTTTTTGTGCATTTACATGCTCCATTGTTTTATTATTCATATCATACATATATTATTGTTCTGGTTTATTGCTGCTCTTGCATAGAAAGTTTATTTATTTAAGTCAAATTTTTATTTTTTTATTAAAGGCTAAAAATATGTATTAAAAATTATTTGCGATTTATACTGACATTACTCTTACATTAGTTACTCTAAAAAGCATTGAGTCATTGTCATCAAGATATTGCGTGTTATTCTTTTCGTTGTACTTCAGTTGCTCGTGTCGTAAAAATTCTGGGAATCCATATCCATTGAGTGCTCGTCCAGTTACATTATACCATGCTACACGACCACCATACATCTCCTTAGGGTCTGTGAATTCATTGATTCGAATCACTTTCTCAGCATGATCTTGATCAGCACGGCAGTTTACAGCTTGAAGTGTGAACTCGCCTCTAAATGGAAACTTGAGTTGGTCGTCATTTTCTCCTTTTGTAAGGTGAGCAAAAATAGATACATTTTTCCCTTTGTTTGCTCCTACCCCATTGGGATACACCATAAAAACAAACCTGTACCCTTGTTTTTCTTTTTGTGTGTAGAGAGGCCTATCACTGACATAACTTCCATTGGATTTTTGAAGTGTCGAGAACTTATTGACTCTAAATTCGAAGAAAGGCCCACTGGTAGCAACTGAGATGGGTATTGAATTACCCTGGCCTGATAATTCTACACTGGTAATACGAATCCTGATGCTATCATCTTTCATGTAGTCTTGGAAGAGTAGGTCTTGTGGTATAAATGTTGCTCCTCCCTGCCCAACAAAAGCTGCAGTGCCACTGCTTATCTGTATTCCATTGACTACTCTTCCAGTGGCCTCCAAATTTGAGTCATCATTAAATTCAATTTCCCCAGCAAAATGATCTTCGTCACGTTTCCGATTCAATAGCTCTAATTTTACTTTTCCCCTGACTGGCCATTTCAATGTTTCATCATGGTCGCCTCTCATTAAATGTATGTGAATGCTGAGATGTGTTCCACTTCCTTCTGACTCTCCATTAGCTCTCACTCTTAGACACAACTTGTATCCTTCTTGGTGAGAGTAGAAGCATGGGCTGTACCAATGGTCATTGCTTTTATGATGAGAAGCAAAAGATGTCATCAATACTTCTACTGGTAGAGCATGTGATTCTCTCCAGTCATCATGCAGTGTTGGAACTCGAGTCAATTTTAATTTCGTAACTATAAATGAATGAGAAATTAAATAGAAAATTACTAAAAATACATTTATACTTTGAATTGTCTCCTCATTTTCCTCTGTTTCTAGTCCTAGTGTTTAATGATCATGATGATAAATGCATAAGTTCATGTTTACTTTTGTTAACAAAGTCTGCTTGCAATTTTTCGAATTTGTCCATCATTATTTTTTTGTAAGCATCATAATTTTTTCGGAGCTCTTCTTTTTCTGCCACAATCTTCTCTGCATTTTCTCCTAGTATATTAATTATAATTATAATTATGCATATCTGCATTACAATAATATTGTACAGAAGGAAATTTTGGAGGGACTAAATTTTGGCAAATTGCTAAATTTTGGATGATTGGCAAATTTTAATTTGGCAAATTTTAATTTGGCAAATTTGTGGCCATGTGCCATTGAGCATGCGCATAATGGCTCAAAATCGTGAATTTTTATTTTAGTGAATGGCTATCAAAATGCCAAATTCACCAAATTCAACTACCTCCAAAATTTCCTTCCATACAGTAATTGATTGCATTCTTACTCTCAATAGCAAGGTCTGTTTGCAATTTTTCATTTTCCGCCATAATTGTATCAATTTCTTTTCGCTGCTCTTCTTTGTCTGCTCCAGTCTTTTCTACTTCTTTCCCTTTAATAATAAAGCATTTATCATTGTTGCTCATACATTATGACTATTGATTTATAACAACATCATAACAAATTTTAATCAAACACCTTTCACATTTTTCATTCTATTAACAGCCCATGCAGTCCCATTAATAATTTTATGTACACATTTACATACCGGTACACTGTTCATGTTTTATGTCTAAATCATTAGTTTCTTTGTCAAGTTGTTCCTTTTCTTTATCTGTCTCAACCAATTTACCTTGTGCCTTAACTGATTGTATTTCATCTTCGAACAAAATAATAACAATAATAATTAACATAGTCACTATAGTCATGTTTACTTTCTTTCTCAGACTGAAATAAAGCAAGCTTCTCTTCTAGTAATTTGTTTTTTTCTTTCAGTTTCTCATTTTCCTATTATTATCATAACAATGAAAATAGTTTAAATTTCTCACTAACTTCTTCACGTTCTGTTACTTTCTCTTGTAAAGACTGTTTTGTCTCAGCTAATGAAATATATAAACTAGATCTATTATAGTATCATTTTATACCTGCTAGTTTTTGTAACCTTTCACTTTCTGCAAAACTGCTACTCAGCATCCCTTTTTTAGTTTTAAGTGTTTCTTTCAACAACTTTGTTTCTTTTTTCAATAACTTTGCCTCTTCCTTTGATGACTCTGCCTCTTTCTTAATCGATTCTGCTTCTTTCTTAATTGCCTTATTTTTCTATAAAATAAATATTAAACGTAACAAACTATATGATGCAAGAAATGACATTAGCTCTACTTGATTAAATGATGTACCTTATTTAAAGTGTTCACTTCCTCTGTACTATTAATCAGTTGTACACTCAATGACAGCATCAATTGTTTCATTAAACCACTACTAGTTGATAATGATGAAGTGTATTCATCTATTTCTGTTGTAGTAGCAGTGGAGGTGTCCTTTACCTGTTATTAATAATAAATATCAGTTCATAAAATAGTCTATTTACCTCATACACAGTGCAGTATCCAATAGTTAATCTCTTCACTTTGTTTTCTTTCAATACATCAATATTATTAAGAGCAGCTGTAATTAACTCCTCAAATAGAATTAAAGGGAAGGAACAAGTGATGGTGAAAGAATTGCTCTTTCTAACAACATTTAATTTGACATGTGGTGATGAATTCTCAAATACAGCTAAAGAAAGTCTGTGGACATCATTAAGTGTCGATTCATTAGCATCTTTGTCAACAAGAATGGTAATGATTTCACACTCAAGTGGTGAAGGATATGAAAGCTGTATACTAGTATTCAGACACTGAGTGAGTTTTATTTTCTTTAGCTCTTCAACAGCTTCTTTATATTCCTTTATAACTGGTTTAGCCTCCTCTATATTGAACTCATTGACAAAGAACTCCAGCACACTAATATCATCAAGCTGACAGCTATCACTAACTAATTGTAGAATGCTATGGATATCTTGACGATGAGCTAGTTGTGGCCTTAATATTTTGTCATAAGTACCTAATACGTATTTGATATTATCTAGTCTTAGAGACTGAGGGTTGCTCATCATGATTGACCCCACTTTGAAAAATGTTTGTCCCATCTTTAATCGCATCGACTGAAACTGAGAAGTGATATTCATAGGAAGATAAATTTTTAACCCTAATTTAAATTATACTATGGTATCATAAAGAGCTGAATTCTTACCATTGGCATCATTTGCTTTAATGGAGTCATCACTGTGATAAACTTCTCCTATAAACTATTATTTACGTGTCTTTTCTACAAGTATACTTACTGTACTCCTTCTGAATAGCACATCCTATCTCAGCAGTGGCTGATACTTTGCACAAAATCTCAGCAAATGCTTTAAGCATTTGATAGTCAATACAAACAGCTTCCTTTACTTGAATCAACAATGCTTCTCCTTGTATAGTTTGGAGGATCATCTCTTTTATCAGTTTCGCTGTATGCAAAATTAAAATCAACTGAGGCAATGCAGTCAAAAGAGACTGTTGAGCTGAATGACAAGCCAGAATTTTACATGCTGGATGCTCTTTAAAGAAATAATAAATATATATGCTCAATTTTATTAAACTTACTCTCCCCATCTATTCCATCAGCTACTCCATTCTCTCCTAATTCCCTCAATGCTGATACCAACGAATAGATAGTAGGACCACCATTCTTCTGAACATTATCAGCTTTCTGTAACCATGCTTTGAGACACTCACGTAGACAACTCTCAACTTTTCTTTCATCTTCTCTAATAGCATCTAGTGTAGTAGAGGATAGACCAAGATAAAGACCAAGATCATAATAATGGACTGCTGAATAACCATGTCTTCTGAGTAATTGAAGTACCTCAGCAAGATCAGTAACTAAATTTAATTTCAATTATAATGTTATGGTAGACTAAAATACTTCGTAGTTGATTATGAGAGTCTGTCGATACAAGAGAAGCATTCATTGGGGCGGCAGTCCTGGATTTAAAAAGAAGGGTGGGGAATAACAACCCCCACGCAATTGCTTTACTCTAATATCATAGATGCTAATATTTTGTGGACTTTGTGCATGTGCAGTCCATACGCCAACTGCACCGGAAGTCATAAACGCCTGTATAGCTATATAGCTAATTTTATTTGCAATACAATACACAACATGAATAATTAATGAGCTTCTCATTTATTTGATATCTTTTTTACTTTTAATACCATACGCATAAAACTTGCTAAAAGTACACAGTACATGTATATCTATCATCATAAAAAATATCAAAAAATTTAGATACACTATAACAAAACTAAAAGTAGCAGAACTCCTCAACTTCCATCACTGCTTGTAGTGTTTGCGACAATCTATACTTGCTGTCCATTTACTAATAACAAAAGAAGAGCCAGAAGAACATATTTCAGAAGTTTAAAGTTGTTCCAGCCAGAAATGAGGATGCTGTGATATCTGAAAGTCCTCAGCACAAAATATGAAGCAATGACTGGTGTACAATCACGCTCTATAAATATTTCAGACCACTTCATTAAAGTAGAATGACTTACCAATGATTCTGAGCCTGGACTCTGTAGGGTAAAGTACAAATAGTAAAATTTATGACATGAGACAATGG